AAACTCTTCTTTCCCAGGGTCAGTGACTACCCTACTAACCAGTGACCATGTAGGGAATGATTCCCCAGAAATTGTCCATTTCCGGTTCACTGGCTTTTTGTAAGACCCCAGAAGCCACATTTTATAAAAAAGCTGGCAGGCCCTCAGCAGTCTCACCTATCTGCACAACGCTGAGAGAGCCATGGGAGAAGACAGCTGCAAGGAGATGGGACTCTGGAAGGTCTTCTGAAGGTGCTTCACAATCAGCCCTGGGAAAGGATGAGCTCAGAGCAGGAGAGGGCTGAACCAGGAGAACTCAACACCCAACCCCACTGAGCATCTTTCAACAGCATCCCCCACTTTGCCTACGTCAGGGTGTATCTGAGACAAGAGTTTTTCCCTCTGGAGCCAGACCTGAGTTTAGCACATACCCAAAACTCGAGGGTGGTGTGGGATAAGTGCAACCAAAGCAGAGAGACCTTCAGAGGAGTTTGTTTCTGGCCTTTCAGATGTGAACGTGTCCTTTGTCACATCCAGAGTAAAGTTCCCTACCAGCTCATTATAACACCAATGCTAAGTGTTTTAACTGGGCTGTCTTCAGTGATGCCCTTCACACCAAAATTCCGGCTCCTATGTCAAAACTGCTCTGACTTTCATGTAAGTGAAGAGGAAAATGCTCTCCATCCAGGGCAAACCCAGATCCTGACTGGGCAGAAGCCCCCACCTGAGCCAGCCACCTTCTTGGAACTCGATGATCTTTAAGGTCCTTTCCAACCCAAACCATTCAATGATTCTATGATTCACAGGCGATGGAGAGAAGTGGCTCTTCCAAGGGTACGATTTTTCTCATCCTAAACAAATGATAAATGATTCGTGACTTGAAGAGCCCATTTCCCACAGAGAGTTGTTTTCCCAGATAACTAGCTCAGACAAGAACATTGTAATTAATGTCCATGTTTATGAGCAGGGTGACGAAACCCTCGTTCGCAAACCCACCAACTTCCCAGACACTGCTCACAGGACTCAAGATATGGGTCGGGGTGTTTGCAGGTCAAGGCCTCATTCCAGCTCAGTTGAACTCCTATTCCTATTTGACTTTGTGCTTCTTTCTCCTCAAAATGAACTGCAATAAGTGCCCACAGGGCTTTCATCACCTCTGCGTGAAGTTAGCACGGCCGTTTGAGAAATCCCATCTTGTTGACGTGCAACAAGTCATCATAGACAGGCACCCGCTCACCCGTAACACTGACCTTTGGGGGCATTTTTTGCCCAGCAGCACAAAAGTGATGAAGTCTTTGTGCTGCTTCTCCCCCGGCTCCATCCCACCAAGACCTGACATATGGAGAAATGGGATGTTTTGGTTTTTTAGGTCTGCCCACACCGTTCAAATGGAAAGAGCCATCAGGGAGCATCTCCGTGCATCCATTACCAGTCCTGTTCCTTGGACTGGGCTGTTTGGGGCAGGAGGATGCTGGCTTTCGAGCCTGGAGGCATCCTGTTCTCACTTTTTTTTTTTCCTCCCTATCTGCAGCGAGAAAGGACAGAAATGTGCTTTTGAAGGAAAAAGCTGCAAACTTGCATAAGAGTCTGAAAATCCAAGAGCTTTTAAAAAATAAACCATTGCATGGCAAAGTACATGTTTCACTATAAAATTGCGAGGCATATCGATGCTAGGTATCAGATATTTATAAAACAGGCACGCTTGCTCTTGTGAGAAAAGCTCAGATACTCTCCAGCTCTCAAAAACTGTGAGACTAGCCAAAAAAATCTGTGCCTGGAGGACAGCCAGCGCATACCCAGGCTGAACGATGACAGCCCATAGTAATTTTTGTCTCACGGCAGATGACTGGCAATAAGTGCATGTAAGGCTCAGCCTTCTCCTGGTGCGGCTCTCCTGTTTGATTTCAGGGACAAACATCATAAAAATCACTGAATGAGGGAATAATTTGCTTTGGAAGGGACTTCTGAAGGTCAGAAGCCTTGGATCTGGATGTAAATAATTGAGATTATAAATCTTAATAGCATACATCTCAATTTTCAGTACTTCTTGTCTCCTTCAAGCTTGGCCCAAGCCCTGCTTTTTGCCTTGCTACCAACCTGCAAAGATAAGAATTAAACACAGAGGGGCTGTTCCTTGGGTGAAGCAGAGGAACAAACTCCCCATTGGATGCCCGGGCACCACAGACTGTGCAGACAGTCCAGAAAAAGCCACCTGGTCAACCCAGCGTGCCACATGGGTGCCAACCAGCCCTGTGGCAACGGGAACAGCCTTGCACCACAGCATCACAGCTTCCTCTCCCTCGTGCAAGCACACTCCACCTCCAGAAGAAGAAATCTTGGCTGGTGAGGCTCCAACAGGGACCATAGATAGATGACACCGAGACCCAGCTCAGAGCACGTACCTACCCTGCCCTCTAGATGCAGATGGGGGAATCCAGCACAGACACAAGCTGAGTTGGGTCTCCCCTTCCTTTAACTTCTCCTCTTGCATCTTCCACCAGGCAATCCTCCTGCTCTGGGTCCTCCACGTACACGAGGACCATCAGTCAGACAGGAGATGCTCGGACACCTGGCTGTGGCAGATGGGGGACAACTGGCCTTGCCCAGGCCATGGGGAAGTGCAAAGAAGATGTTTGCACGTGAGATGGGACCATCCTCCTTCTCATGAACAGGCTCCTGAGCAGGCTGCTTTCACTTTGGGTGAAATAAACCCCAAAATGAAGCCCAGCTCCACGAGCCCTGCTTCAAATAGCCACCAGCAGATTCAAAAAGGATCCTGCCGGAGGAGGAGAGTGCTCAGAGCCGTGTTGAAATAGCACGAGGCAGACTGAGAAGGAAGGATGAAGGAAAAAAGCAGCCTTGGTGGTGCATTGAAAACTGGAGCTGGGTGGAGATCATCCCCACCCGCTCGCCTCTCCCTCCTGAGCAAACAAATCCGTTTGCTGAGTTTCACAGCACCGAGGCTCAGGCCAGGGTGCCTGGAGCTGGCTCAGCGGGCGCTTGCTCCCAGGGTCTGCAACTTTAGAATCACAGAATGGTTTGGGTTGGAAGGGACCTTAGAGACCATCCAGTCCCACCCCCTGCCATGGGCAGGGACACCTCCCACTAGCCCAGGTTGCTCAAAGCCTCATCCAGCCTGGCCTTGAACCCCTCCAGGGATGGGGCATCTTCCCCCAGAAAAGCACCCCAGGCTTCCCTCCCCAGCTCTGCTTGCCCAGGCTGGGGCCAGTGATTCAGGCTCTGAGCGGGGCCAAACTGGAGAGAGGAGTGGTGGGCACTGGTATTGGGGGCAACATTTCTCAGAGAGGGCATGTCCCTGTGCCTTCTTCAGCTGCATCCACTTTGGGACTAATACGCACGTGGTTTTATGCCCACCCACCCACAATGCCTGTCCTGACACCTCCACAAGCCCTTCTCACCACACAGCATCACCAAAAAACAACCTGGTGATGGATTCAGGACCCCAAACCCAATTCAGAGATGTTCCCTTCTACACAGCCCATTCCAACTCAATTTAAGGCTGAGACTTTAAAGCATCCCTTCACAAGTCTTTTCTCAGGTGACCGATCTCCTCCACCTCATTAGCAGCCACTAGCAGATGCTGTTTCCCCAGCAGAAGCCACACTGGTTACAGCCATCTTGAAACCACCCTGTCATTTCTTCCTTGTCATGGCCATGGCAAAGCCTGGAGAATATTTATCAAGAAGCAGACGCAGCAGTTTTTTCTAGTTAAGCCCAGGTCATTAATCTCTGTCAAGAGTTTTCATGATCATCCTCAACATCACTGTGTTTGTTTAACTCCCGGATGGTCACCCCAGGGAGCTGTGGGTAATTGCACATTAATTGCTTTTCAATATTAATGGCTCTTCATTAATGCACCAGGCTCTCTCGCCTCCAGAGCCCAGGCAGAAATACAATGATATAAGCCCAAATCTTCTGTGTCCTATGGCTGCTTTGTAGCAGAAGTATTTTGGAGCAAGAACAAGCCACCCCAAACCACAGCATCCTCAAGGATGGGCAGGGACAGTGACACCTCTCCAGTGTCCCCATCCTTGTAGGAGGGATCTTTATCATGCAGCTCCCACCCCAAGGCCCCACGAAGCAAGGCAGGGCAGGACGTGTGGCCACCAAAACCTCCCAGATTACATGAAACCTGCCCAGAAGTGATGGGAGAGCTGCAACCCAGCCTCCGTCACAGTGTCATCTGATCATGGCATGAAAGCAAGACCCTCAGCCCCTGAACCCTGGCCCCAGCACCATAGAACCACACGGGGTGGATGGAGCCAACGCTGTGCTGCCTCATCCGCACAGTCTGTGGGGAGGATGGCTGGTGAGTCCCATCTCTGAGACACATCTTGGGGTGCACAAGTCAGCACAGACTGGGAACAGGCTAAGAGAGAAGCCGTGTGGACAACCAGCAGCTGATTTTGCTGTCTCGCTTAGCCTCTAGCCAGGACACAGAGCAGGGTTATTGCAGAGGCACCAAGAGCTAGTCTTGTATCTCCAAGACCTTCCTTGCCAGCCTGTCCTCCTTCTCTCCTCTGAAGCCTCTTAGGGTGCTTGGTCTTGCTTAGAAGCCTTCACAGGACACAAAGCCTTCCCAACAACTCGCCTCTTGCCGAGTTCTTCACAACCAAAGAAACTGAGCACCCCAGGCTGCCAGCATGTTAATACTCTGCTTTAATTAACGGACTCGGTGTTTTTGCATGAGCTTGAAGCTCTGTGTATTTGTCCTCCCGCCCTGTGAGTGGCTGGGAGGAGCTGGCTCCTGTGCCCCCACCGTCCCCTCCAGCATCCTCTGCTCCGCATCCAGCCATGCCCTGGGGTGCTGAGCCATCCAGGCATCACACAGGGCATGAGCTGCACCAGCAGCCACATCATCTCTTGGCCAAAAAGAGCCCCCAGTCCCCTCTTTTCCGCCACTGAGCTGGGACCAACACGTCTAGATGCTGCTGAGCAGAAGCCCCTCAATCCTTTGCAAGCCCTCCATCTTGCCCCCCAGGTGGAGGAGGAGACCCCCACTATCTGGGGGGCAGGGGCAGCTTGAGGTAGGACTTGAGCCCCAGGGCTTTGTCAACCACATCTGGGGGCTGCAGGCTGTGCCACTGGGTGAGGGGCCGGCGTGGGTTGGACAGCATGTCGGACCAGTGCTGCAGCTGGTTGCCAGTGGCCCGGCAGCCCAGGAAGAGTTTGCCGATGGGCTCGTTCTTGGTAACTTTGTCGTGATCCCACACGGAGATGACCACATCCATATTCTAAGGGGGAGACATAAAGAGGGTCAGTGGGAGGGGGCTCGCCACAGTGGGGACACGCTCAGCCCTGGTTGCTGTGGGGAAACCCACCTGGATCTGATCGAAGGGCACCTCAAAAACAAACACCTCATTGAAATAAGGGTTTAAGGTGTTTTTCTTCACATTTGTCTTCTTCTTCTTCCATTTCTTCCTGTTCAGGATGAGATGCACCTTTACAAAGGGATCTGACGAGAGAGAGGACACAGCTGGCACAAGTGACAATTTTTGACTGAGGAGCTCAACCATGGAACAGCTTCCCTGGGCCATTCCCAAGCAGAGCACACCATCCCACTTGTCTGTCCTCGTGGTGAGCATCCACCCCCCGCCTCCTCCTGCCACGAGCTCCCTTGACCATCCAGCCTTGACATCTCCTCCTGGGAGATACCTCCAGTTCTGCCCACAGCTGGAGCATATGCTGACCTGAGAGCCCATCGGAGTCCATCCGCTTCAGCTTCTTGGCTTCCAGGATGAGCACCGTCAGCTTGCCGGTGCTGGGGACATAGCGCAGCGAGAAACAGATCTCGCCCAGCTGCTCTTCCTGATGGAGAGATGGCAGAGATGACCACCGGGCAGAAGAACCAGGGTTCCTGCATCTCCCTCACCCTTGTGGTTGCCCCTAGGGGCCTGCTTCTTGGGGTGGTGGCAAGCAAAGCAACAGGACATCTCTCCTGGCAGAGTTTCCCACCTGCCAGGACCCACCTCCACTTTATTGGCTGCTGCCAGGTCGCTCCACTGCTCAATGATGTGCTGCAGGCTGACACTGGCCAGAGGCAGCCGGACCTCGCCAATGATGTCATGCTTGGCAAAGCGGTTGAAGTCGTAGATCTGCATCACCAGCGTGGATTCTGGCACCTCCGCCTGCGTTACCTGGAGAGGAGGACCCAAAAGACTGGACTCATTCCTCAGTGGCAGCCCTGCCCCACGGGACAAGGTGGTAGACATGATAACAGGTCTTTCTCTCTGATCCCCATCCTAGTTGCAAAGGCATCTCTCTGCCTGCAGAGGTTTTTGCCCAGGGAGCAGAGCCCATGCAATGCTCTTGATGGGACCAGAAAACCATCGTCAGCTATAGCATCCTACCTGGAAAATGAAGCTCTCGTTGAAGATGGGGTTCAAGGTCTTACGGTAAACCTTGGTCTCATACTTCTTCTTCGTATCAGACGTTAGGTAGACGATCACATACGGATCGGATGTGCCTCCCCTGTCCATGGCCTTCAGCTCAGCTGCCTGCTTCACGCCGACTCTCAGCTGAAAAGGAGTGATGCGCAAGGTCAGCAGGTGGAGGAGGATGGGGCCAGGTGACCAGGGGCTCAGTGGGAAGCAGGCAAGTGCAGCAGGGAGGACACTTCCATGCCACGTGGGCATATGAGCCAGCAGGGAGATGTGAGAGGGTATCATAGAATCACAGAATGGTTTGGGTTGGAAGGGACCTTAGAGACCATCCAGTCCCACCCCCCTGCCATGGGCAGGGACACCTCCCACCAGCCCAGGTTGCTCAAAGCCTCATCCAGCCTGGCCTTGAACCCCTCCAGGGATGGGTCATCCACAGCTTCTCTGGGCAACCTGGGTCAGTGTTTCCTCACAAGAAAACATTTCTTCCTAATAGCTAGTCTAAATCTCTTCCAGTTTACATCCATTACCCCTCGTTCTGTCGCTAAATGCCCTTGTAAAAAGTCCCCCCCCATCTCTCCTGGAGCCCCCTTTCAGCACTGGAAGCTGCTCTACGGTCTCCCCGGAGCCTTCTCTTCTCCAGGCTGAACAACCCCAACTCTCTCAGCCTGTCCTCGGACGAGAGGTGCTTCAGCCTCTGACCATCTTTATGGCCTCCTCTGGACCTGCTCCAGCAGCTCAACATCCTTCTTGCTTTGGGGACCCCAGAGCTGGATGCAGCCCTGCAGGGGGGGTCTCACAGGAGCAGAGCAGAGGGGCAGAATCACCTCCCTCGACCTGCTGGCCACGTTTCTCTTGATGCAGGTGTATGGTCCACCTCAGTGGGTGGCAAAGAGGGACCATGCAAGAGCAAAGCCTTTTCCCTGCCGTGCCGCTGCCACAAGCATCCCCACCTCCGGTGCGCGGAAGTTGTACTCCAGGGAGTACTGCAGCTTTCCTCGCCCCGTCTGCTCCACGTGCTGCTCCAGGTCCTCCATCTCAGGCTGCACCTGCGGCAGAGAGCAGCAACTATCCTCAGGATGTGCTTAACCGTGTCCCCGGCCGTGCCGTGCTCCCACCAGCCTTGGGACCGGGCAGCACGGCAGCAAACGGCACAGGGAGGAGGAAAGTGGGGGACAGGGGGAAGCAGGAGGCACAGGGAGGAGGAAAGTGGGGCACAGGGGGAAGCAGGACGCACGAGGCTGGCCGTGGTGGGGCTGCTGACGGTGTGCAGGGTGACTCTCTCCTTCTTCCTGGGTTTCTTCTTGCTGCAGCAGCACCTGACAATGCAGATGAGGAAGAGGAGGAGGAGAACAACCGCTGCCACGGCCATGGCAATGAGCACCCATTTGGGTACTGGTGAGATATTCGGGGAGGAGAAATGGACAGAAGAGTTAAAACCAAGCAAAAATATACAATGTGCATTTAAACCCCTTCCAACTTTCTAAATCCTGGACAGGCCCCGTGCAGGGAGACTGCAGCTGAAGACTATTCCCCAAACTGGGAGTAAGGATGCCCTGTGCTGCTGGAGCAGCACGGTACCACTCTGCAGCATCCTCACCCCAATGGAACCTGATAGAAAAAGGGGTTTGGAGGGAGAGGGAAGTAGACACTCAGCCTCAGAGCCCAGGAACCCCCCCAAATAGTACTGCCAAGGAAAGCAGGGCAATGCCACCATACTCACGTGGGATCCGGCTGAGCCAGCTGCCCAGAAATCCCGGCTGAGCGGTGGTGGCGATGGCTGCGGGGCTGCTGGTGAGCGGGGAGGCTGTCACCCCGTCTTTCCTGGCTGCCACCACCATGGCTAAGCTGGGGTGACCTGGGGACGCAAGCAAAAGGAACAGGGTGGGGATTTCCTTTTGCTGCCAGCGGCCCAGGGCTCTAATGAGAGCAAACACAATTAAAACACAGAGCCCAGCGTAAGCACTTAGGGCTTGGCCGCTTTGGCAATGAGGTGTGAAATGGAGCTGGAGGGAGCCACGGACTCTGTGCCAGCAAGCCCCCTGCCTCCAGCTTTCTCATTTATATTCTTGCAAACCTGCCTTGGGAAAAGGGAGGGGGCAGGGGGCTGGATTAGAGATTTTTCCTTTATTTTTGAGAAGAGGAATCACCTG